CACGATCGGCAATGTGTGCCGTGTCCCCTCCCAGCGGTTGTCCTTTGGATGGACTCTTCCCCGCCAGTGGAACGTGGCATTTCCACCACTGTCCGAGGGATCTTGACTTACCAAGCTTTCGTGACTTGCAGGCATTCATATCCTTTGGGTCTTTCGGTAAAGTCATGTTGATAGGCTCAAACAAAATTACAGAAAATAATTTTAAAAACGACGACGTTTCGATCGCAACACACGCGTTCGTCGTAACGAAGAAAAAAGAACGCTTGTGTTGGGATCGAAACGCCGTCGTGGTTTTTATTGATTATTTTTTTTGTTATTTTCTTTGAACCTATCTCCGTGACTTTACCCAAAGACCCAAAGAATATGAGCCAAGGAATGTTCACAGGCGATGAACACCAATGCCTCGACGCTCATTGAAATCACCCTGATGGCCGTGTCACCTCCGTTGCCGCGTGCGTCCAATTAAACGTGATATAATAATAAGCACTGCAACGTGTGACGTTTCGGCCAATGGCCCTTCTTCATAAGCGTATTCAGAGGGACACTTTTTTTTGCTTTGTTTACTTCAACAGCCACTTGTGGTATTATTTGGCGAATGTGTTGAGCAACTTCGTTGATTGTGCGTCGCCCTCCAATGCCGACTCAGCAGCATCACCGGGTCATTTGTTACAATTGAATAATTCCGATTTATGGCATTAACCCTTTCGTCACGTGGGCACCACTACCGCATTATAAGACGCACCCCAACCTGTTAATTCAAATATCACGTGGGGCTGGAGAGGGGGCTGGGGTAGAGGGACGAAAGTGCGCGTTATAATCCGGAGAATACGCTGCAAACATAATTTCAACATAGCCCCGCAGAAAACCTTTAACACCTGTTGTAAACGATACCCGGCCACGTTTTTAGCAGCTGTGGATAGTCCAGTAAACACACACACCACACTGTTGTACTTTATTTCAATGCTACTACGCCTATGGTGTTCTTACACCCGAAAACAACTCCACCCACCCACCAATCTCCTCCAACACCGACCTGCACTCACTGACCAGCGCGGTGAAGTATGGTCAAGGTACCCTCCACGAGACCAGCAATGGATAGGCAAAGAGGCTCTCTATTACTCATACAAAAATTACAAAGATCCACCCCCTCCCCTCGGATAGCCTTCACAGACTGTTGGGGCAAGTGCCGTGGGCGAAGTAGCACCTGTGAAGACCGGCACGACACACGGAGGGGTGGGTGGCCAACAACAACAACAACGCCCGGCCGCCTTTGTCTCCCCAGTGGCGATGGTTTACACACCGCACCAACGAACTCATTAAAGGCTGAGTCGACCTAGAGGGGAGGCCCAGAACCGGTTCAATTACGCAACCGCCACCGTTATTGGCCCTGAGCGAGACTCGAACTCGGGACGCCGCGTTCGAAGCGCAGTGCCCTAACCACTGCGCCACCGCTCCCGACTCGTACTACATAAGCACGCGATACGCTCACATACAGTATACACATAGACTGTTGCCGCTCTTAATCGATAAACGAATCTGTTCAACAACAACCGTCACTCGCCACTCAGTGGCGGTGACGTCCCCGCGACCGCCTGTGCCAGGCTAGGTGCACGTTAAGGCCACGTGAAGTGTCGAACGCCCGCTGGCAGGAGGTCACGGGACAGACCCAGGTGCCACGGGTTGCCTGTTTAAACGAATCTGGCCTCTCACACACACACACATCTACCGGATTATAAGACGCACGACTCCAAAGTTTTCTCTCAAATACAGAAGAAGGGGGGGGGGGGGGGGGGGGGGAGCAGCCGTGGGTGTTCAAATTTGCGTCTTATGTTCCGGAGAACGCGATGCAATATTACATCTCTCTATGTAAACATCTCTCTCCGTATTCGTATCTCTCTCTCTCTCTATGCGTTGATGCATCTCTCTCGACATCATCGACCCGTGCTCACGAACACTTCGCAGCATCAAACAGATGAATGATTACAAATGAAAGTTTTCGTTACCTGGCGGGTCACGCTGCGCTTGTCCCCTCGTACAGGCCGAGCGCAGTCTTCTTGACACTTCCCCTGCTCAGCTGTCCGCCCTCCTGTCGTCTGTCTGTCTCTCTCTATCTCTCTCTCTGCCTTTGCCGACAGTCTGCGTGAGAACGCGTGCGTCTGTGCGCGAGTGCGTGGGGTCCCACGTGCGCCTACACCGGAGTTTGTGTCCGCGCGTGTCCCGTGGTCCACGTTGAGAGAGAGGAGCGCGCGCATCGACACCTCTGTCGGTGCGCGCGCGCTCACGATTTTAGTCGCCGCGTTTCACCCTCGCGAGCGCCTCTCCCTCCGCCCGGACTCTCTGCGTCTGCGTTCGGCTGCGCCTCTCCCTCTCTTCCCTCCGCGTCCGCAAGAGTCTCCGCGCGAAGACTTCGTCTATTGTAAGAGACGTGTCTATGTAAGAGCGCGCGTGTCTATGTAAGAGCGCGCGTGTCTATTGTAAGAGACGTGTCTATGTAAGAGACGTGTCTATGTAAGAGCGCGCGTGTCTATTGTAAGAGACGTGTCTATGTAAGAGACGTGTCTATGTAAGAGCGCGCGTGTGTCTATGTAAGAGACGTGTCTATGTAAGAGACGTGTCTATGTAAGAGCGCGCGTGTGTCTATGTAAGAGACGTGTCTATGTAAGAGACGTGTCTATGTCAGAGACATGTCTATGTAAGAGCGTGCGTGTCTATGCAAGAGACGTGTCTATGTAAGAGAAGTGTCTATGTAAGAGTGTGCGTGTCTATGTAAGAGACGTGTCTATGTAAGAGACGTGTCTATGTAAGCGCGCGCGTGTGTATGTAAGAGACGTGTCTATGTAAGAGCGCGCGTATCTATGTAAGAGACGTGTCTATGTAAGAGAGGTGTCTATGTAAGCGCGCGTGTCTATGTAAGAGACGTGTCTATGTAAGAGACGTGACTATGTAAGCGCGCGCGTGTCTATGTAAGAGACGTGTCTATGTAAGAGCGTGCGTGTCTATGTAAGAGCGCACGTGTCTATGTAAGAGACGCGACTATGTAAGCGCGCGCGTGTCTATGTAAGAGACGTGTCTATGTAAGAGACGTGTCTATGTAAGAGCGTGCGTGTCTATGTAAGAGCGCGCGTGTCTATGTAAGAGACGTGTCTATGCAAGAGACGTGTCTATGTAAGCGCGTGCGTGTCTATGTAAGAGACGTGTCTATATAAGAGACGTGTCTATGTAAGAGCGTGCGTGTCTATGTAAGAGCGCGCGTGTCTATGTAAGAGACGTGTCTATGTAAGAGACGTGTCTATGTAAGAGCGCGCGTGTCTATGTAAGAGACGTGTCTATGTAAGAGACGTGTCTATGTAAGAGCGTGCGTGTCTATGTAAGAGACGTGTCTATGTAAGAGACGTGTCTATGTAAGAGACGTGCGTTTCTATGTAAGAGACTTGTCTATGTAAGAGACGTGTCTATGTAAGAGCGCGCGTGTCTATGTAAGAGACGTGTCTATATAAGAGCGTGTGTGTCTATATAAGAGACGTGTCTATGTAAGAGACGTGTCTATGTAAGAGCGTGCGTGTCTATGTAAGAGACGTGTCTATGTAAGAGACGTGTCTATGTAAGAGCGTGCGTGTCTATGTAAGAGACGTGTCTATGTAAGAGACGTGTCTATGTAAGAGCGCGCGTGTGTCTATGTAAGAGACGTGTCTATGTAATAGACGTGTCTATGTAAGAGCGCGCGTGTGTCTATGTAAGAGACGTGTCTATGTAAGAGCGCGCGTGTCTATGCAAGAGACGTGTCTATGTAAGAGACGTGTCTATGTAAGAGCGTGCGTGTCTATGTAAGAGCGTGCGTGTCTATGTAAGAGACGTGTCTATGTAAGAGCGCGCATGTCTATGTAAGAGACGTGTCTATGTAAGAGACGTGTCTATGTAAGAGCGCGCGTGTGTCGTCTCTACCTGTCTACCTACACGCGCCTCCGCGCGCGTGTCCGCCTCGTCTCACCCCCCCACACACCCCCGCGTCTCCCCACGTGTCTCTCTCTGTCTCTCTCTCTCTGTCTCTCTCTCTGTCTCCCCACGTGTCTCTCTCTGTGTCTCTCTCTCTGTCTCCCCACGTGTCTCTCTCTCTCTGTCTCCCCACGTGTCTCTCTCTGTCTCCCCACGTGTCTCTCTCTGTCTCTCTCTCTCTGTCTCCCCCCACGTGTGTGTCTCTCTCTCTCTGTCTCCCCACGTGTCTCTCTCTCTGTCTCCCCACCTCCCCCCACGTGTCTCTCTCTCTCTGTCTCCCCACGTGTCTTTCTCTCTCTGTCTCCCCACGTGTCTCTCTCTCTCTCTCTGTCTCCCCACGTGTCTCTCTCTCTCTGTCTCCCCACGTGTCTCTCTCTCTCTGTCTCCCCACGTGTCTCTCTCTCTCTTTACCCCCACGTGTCTCTCTCTCTCTGTCCCCCCACGTGTCTCTCTCTCTGTCTGTCTCTCTCTCTCTGTCTGTAGGCGCGAGTCGGACGCGCGGCGTGAGTCTCTGCGCCGCGTGTCCCCGCTCCCAACACGAGCGCCTCCGTCTCCCCCACCTCGCCTTCGTTTATCGCCGCGCGCCTCCCCGTGCCCGTCGTGGTCGCTCACCGAAACGAGGCAACGTCCTCCTCGTCCTCCTCGTCGTCCTCCTCGTCCTCCTCGTCGTCCTCGCCGCCCTCGCCGCCCTCGCCGCTCACCGACTCCGGTCGCCGGTCGCGGGCCGCTCCCCAGCCCCCCCCCCGGTCGAGAGCGCGGATAGCAGCGGGCGGCGTCTCGTCGACACGGCCGCGTCTCGGTTGGGTCTCCAGGCGGCACGCAACCCTCCACCACCACCACCCCCTAACCCCCTTAGCCCACACGCGACTCACTCACTCAGTGTCCCCTCCGACTCGGTGGTGGTGGCGGTGGTGATTGGGGGGGGGGGGGGTGGGGGGGGGTCCTCCGGTTCGACTCCGTGACGAGAACAAGCGGACGAACAACTCCGCATGGCCGGGGGGAGGGAGCGAGGGAGGAGGAGGAGGAGGAGGTGGTGGGGGTACGAACTTCACACGCGGGCAGTCCCAGCTGTAAGTGAGCCTTTGTGTGCAATCACCATCAACATCATCTCTCTCTCGCCTTCCTTACGTCTGGCCTCGTTATTCCGTCTCTTGTCCAGTAGTCGTACGACAGTCAGAACTCGCGCGTGTGTGTGTGTGTCTCTCTCACACGCACAGTGCACGCGTGTGGGTCTGTCTAAGAGAGAGAGAGAGTGCGTGTGTGTCTGTGTAAGGCTGTGCGTGTGTGCGTGTGTGTGTTGCCTTCAAACTGATTCCAAACATTCCACGGGTGTGTTACGCTAACCCACGCCACGCCTCCACACACCCCTACCCCGCTACCCTCACCCCCTCTAACCCCCACAACGCCGATCACCCCTCCCCTATCACCCCCCCCCCCTACCTCCACTATCCCTCCCACAGTATCAGGGTGTGTGTGTGTGACTGTGTGTGTCTCTGTGTATGTGACTGTCTCTCTGTGTGAGTTTGTGTGACTGTCTCTGTGTGTGTGACTGTCTCTTTGTGTGTGTGTGTGCCTGTCTCTCTGTGTGAGTGTGTGTGACTGTCCGTGTGTGATTGTCTCTCTGTGTGTGTGACGGTGTCTCTGTGTGAGTGTGTGTGACTGCGTGTGTCTCTGTGTGTGTGACTGTCGCTCTATGTGAGTGTGTGACTGTCTCTGTGTGTGTGTGTGACTATCTGTGTGTGTGACTGTCTCTCTGTGTGAGTGTGTAACTGTCTCTCTGTGTGTGTGACTGTCTCTGTCTGTGTGACTGTGTGTGTGTGTGACTGTCTCTCTGTGTGAGTGTGTGACTGCGTGTGTCTCTGTGTGTGACTGTCTCTCTGTGTGAATGTGTGTGACTGCGTGTGTCTCTGTGTGACTGTCTCTCTGTGTGAGTGTGTGTGACTGCGTGTGTCTCTGTGTGTGACTGTCTCTGTGTGTGTGTGACTGTCTCTCAGTGTAAGTGTGTGTGACTGCGTGTGTCTCTATGTGTCTGTGTCTGGGTGTGTGTGTGTGACTGTCTCTCTGGGTATCTGTGCGAGTGTGAGTATGCGACTGCGTTTGTCTCTATGTGTGTGTGTGTAAGTGTGTGACTGTCTCTCTGGATATCTGCATGAGTGTGTGTATGTATTATGTATGTGAGTGTGTTTCTATGTGTGTGTGTATGACTCTCTCGCTATCTGTGTGTGTGTATGCGACTGCATGTGCCTATATGCGTGTGTATGAGTGGGGACCGGTGGGAGAGTGGTTAGCGCTCTGTGCTACTGAACCCGGTATGTGTGTCTATACACCATTATATATCTAAGTGGGTATGTGTGTCTATGCACCACCATGTGTATCTGTAACTGTGGGTATGCATGCGTAACGGTGTTTTGAATTTGTCCCTCTCTCTGTATCTGCAATTCCCTTTGTCTCCCGTGACGGTACGTCCAAATTCCTCGCTTGTAATACTACACACACATATATCTACACACACAAAGGGGCAATTGTTATGCCGAACCTGGTGCGAGCCTCCCTTAGGTACACTCAGCCTCAAACGAGTACCTGGTGTGGTGTCAATGGCAACACCGTGGAGACAATGGCCTTCTTTGTTTCCCAAGTGGCCGTGTGCGTGAGTGTGTGACTGCGTGTGTCTGTGTGTGTGTGTCTGTGTGTGTGACTGCGTGTGTCTGTGTGTGTGACTGCGTGTGTCTGTGTGAGTGTGTGTGACTGCGTGTTTCTGTGTGTTTTTGACTGTCTCTCTGTGCGAGTGTGTGACTGTCTCTCTGTGTGTGTGACTGTCTCTCTGTGTGAGTGTGTGTGACTGTCTCTCTGTGTGAGTGTCTGTGACTGTCTCTCTGTGTGAGTGTTTGTGACTGTCTCTCTGTGTGAGTGTGTGTGACTTTCTCTCTGTGTGTGTGACTGTCTCTCTGTGTGAGTGTGTGTGACTGTCTCTCTGTGTGAGTGTGTGTAACTGTCTCTCTGTGTGAGTGTGTGTGACTGTCTCTCTGTGTGAGTGTGTGACTGTCTCTCTGTGTGTGTGTGACTGTCTCTCTGTGTGTGTGTGACTCTCTCTCTGTGTGAGTGTGTGTGACTGTCTCTCTGTGTAAGTGTGTGTGACTGTCTCTCTGTGTGAGTGTGTGTGACTGTCTCTCTGTGTGAGTGTGTGTGACTGTCTCTCTGTGTGAGTGTGTGTGACTGTCTCTCTGTGTGAGTTTGTGTGACTGTCTCTCTGTGTGAGTGTGTGACTGTCTCTCTGTGTGAGTGTGTGTGACTGTTTCTCTGTGTGAGTGTGTGACTGTCTCTCTGTGTGTGTGACTGTCTCTCTGTGTGAGTGTGTGTGACTGTCTGTGTGAGTGTGTGTTTGTGACTGTCTCTCTGTGTGAGTGTGTGTGTGTGTGACTGTCTCTCTGTGTGAGTGTGTGTGTGACTGTCTCTCTGTGTGAGTGTGTGTGATGTCTCTCTGTGTGAGTGTGTGTGACTGTCTCTCTGTGTGAGTGTGTGTGACTGTCTCTCTGTGTGAGTGTGTTTGACTGTCTGTGTGTGTGTGTGACTGTCTCTCTGTGTGTGTGTGACTTTCTCTGTGTGTGTGTGACTGTCTCTCTGTGTGAGTGTGACTGTCTCTCTGTGTGAGTGTGTTTGACTCTCTCTCTGTGTGTGTGACTGTCTCTCTGCATGAGTGTGTGTGACTGTCTCTCTGTGTGAGTGTCTGTGACTGTCTCTCTGTGTGAGTGTCTGTGACTGTCTCTCTAAGTGAGTGTGTGTGCGACTGCGCGTTCGATAGGAGGCTGGCACTTGCCACGTTCGGTGCTTTTTCTGGAAGACTTTGCTGCTTTTTCCTGGATTTTTCTGTTGAGCATCGTCACTTTTAAGATGTTTTCTTATTCATGTTTTTGTTTGTTGCGGTTGCACCCGAGTCAAGAGCCGCATGGCTCACAGGGCTCTACCTAATCAGTGAAACTGAACTGATAAAAGTCTATATTATTGGTTCTTTCGGTAGTCACGTAGAAGGGAAACAATAAAATAATAAAAATATAAAACAATAAAATTCTCACGACGTTTCGACTGGAACAGAAGCAATCATCATCAGGTGTGAAAACCACAGCAAGAAATTTTGAAAAAAGTGGCGGGTTTTTTTAACGTTAGCACCAAAAAAAAAACACGCCACTTTTTTCAAAATGTCTTGCTGTGGTTTTCACACCTGATGATGATTGCTTGTGTTGCAGTCGATCCCTTCACCTGATGAAGGCCGCTTGTGTTGTGGCCGAAACGTCGTGATTTTTGTTGTTTTATTGTTTTACCTACGTGACTTTACCGAATAGAACCAAAGAGTATGAGAATTTTATTGTTTTATATTTGTAATATTTTATTGTTTCCCTTCTACGTGACTTTACCGAAAGAACCAAGAATATGAATCCCTGCAGTCACGAAAGCTTTAAATTGACAAAAGTCTGTTTCAGGCTATACGGGAGGGGGGGGGGTGATAGGGAGCCGATGTGACCCACGAACCCCAGCCAACCGGAGTTCGATTCCCGCTTTCACGGCCAACACCGGTGACGGGTATCAGAACCCGCCCTGGGCCTCCCCCTAGGTCGACTCAGCCTTAAAATGAGTGCCTGGTGAAAATGTGCGGGCATTGCCAGGATGGGGGACAAAGGCGGTCGGGCGTGGCGCAGGCTACCCCCCCCCCCCCCACCTCGTGTGCCGTGCCGGCCTTCGTAGGGCTGACAGCAATCTTGCAAAAAACAGTCTTTGTGTGTTGTTGTTATTGTTGTTGTTTGTGTTGGCAGCGATCACCGCACTGCGTCACGACCCCGGCGTCACGGGTTCGATTCTAGCCCATCGTCTAAACCGGTCAACATGAGTCCCGAGTGAGGGTCTACTGCAATCGAGACGAGGGGGGGAGACAAAGACGGTCGGGGATTGTTGTTAGCCACATCAATCCGTCCGCTTAACGAAGGCCCTATCCCAAAACGCCCGGTTTGTTTGTGTGTTTGTTAGTTTGATCTCGTCACGGTCGATGTTCACATCACCGCACCACCGGGTCACGCACTTGTGAGGTCGAGTCGACACAGGGCCGTCTTACAACATTCGCCGTCACCTGTGAGGATGATGTCTCGGTGGCCCGCGAGAGCCTCAGAGTCGAGGCCGCTGCTCCTCCGGATCGAGAGGAGCCGGTTGAGGTGGTTCGGGCCCGCCCCCGGTAAGGATGCCCCCCACCCCCCGGTAGACTCCCCTTGGAACTCTACCGGGCAGCAGCAGCAGCAGCAGCGTCCCGCTGGGCGAAGGACCCCGGGGCTGGCCCAGGACCACGCTGCTAGAGTCTGTCTATAGTAGTGTAGTGTGTAGTGTATAGTGTAGTGTGTAGTGTAGTGTATAGTGTAGTGTATAGTGTAGTGTGTAGTGTATAGTGTAGTGTGTAGTGTATAGTGTAGTGTATCGTGTAGTAGTGTAGTGTGTAGTGTAGTGTGTAGTGTATAGTGTAGTGTAGTGTGTAGTGTAGTGTATAGTGTAGTGTATAGTGTAGTGTGTAGTGTATAGTGTAGTGTGTAGTGTATAGTGTAGTGTATCGTGTAGTAGTGTAGTGTGTAGTGTAGTGTGTAGTGTATAGTGTAGTGTAGTGTATAGTGTGTAGTGTCTATAGTAGTGTATAGTGTAGTAGTGTATAGTGTAGTAGTGTAGTAGTGTAGTGTATAGTGTAGTGTATATTGTAGTGTATAGTGTAGTGTAGTAGTGGTGTCTATAGTAGTGTAGTGTATAGTAGTGTAGTGTCTATAGTAGTGTATAGTGTAGTGTATAGTGTAGTGTATTGTATAGTGTAGTGTATAGTAGTGTAGTGTATAGTAGTGTAGTGTATTGTGTAGGTATAGTAGTGTAGTGTATAGTGTAGTGTATAGTAGTGTAGTGTATAGTGTAGTGTATAGTGTAGTGTATAGTAGTGTAGTGTATAGTAGTGTAGTGTATAGTGTAGTGTATAGTGTAGTGTCTATGTAGTGTAGTGTCTATAGTAGTGTAGTGTATAGTGTAGTGTATAGTGTGTAGTGTCTATAGTAGTGTAGTGTCTATAGTAGTGTAGTGTATAGTGTCTATAGTAGTGTAGTGTCTATAGTAGTGTAGTGTCTATTGTAGTGTAGTGTATAGTGTCTATAGTAGTGTAGTGTCTATAGTAGTGTAGTGTCTATTTAGTGTAGTGTATTGTGTAGTATATAGTGTAAGCTTATAGTAGTGTATATTAGTCAGGGACGTGCGGTCAGGGGAGGCAGGGGAGGCAGAGCCTCACCTGTCATACTCCAATGAAAATAGCAGTTACGAAAAAAAAATATTAAGATTTTTCCACTGATCTGTGTTATAAATGTTATTTCTGTACGATTCCAATAATTTGTATCGTCAACATCGCCAAATTTGCGGAGCTCCGCTGCAAATACAGGAAGAGACGAGAGGTGAGGCAGCGACGAGCTCAGCCTCCCCTCTGATTGCGCAACCCTTCAGTAGCTGGATGGAGCGCGGGCAATAAGCGCGTGCCTGTTACTATCTCAGTATGTCACCAATGTAATGTTTGTAGACCCCTTCATTTCATGTCCTCGCCTTCCATACTCCAGGTAACTTATGTCACGTATGTGTATAAAGATATTTCGGCTTGCTGGTCTCGTCATGATACTGCAATGAAAAAGCACCAGGGGAGGCAGCTATCACATCTGCCTCACTGAGGGGGACGTGTCTAACACGCGCCCCTCAGTGAAGACACGCCCCTCAGTGAGGCCACGCCCCTCCGTTAGGCCACGCCCCCCTCAGTGTGTGAATCTGGCTCTGACACTAGCCAGTGCCTCCCCAGCCATTGACCTCAATGCACGTCACTGATAGTAGTGTAGTGTATAGTAGTGTATAGTGTAGCATATAGTAGTGTATAGTAGTGTAGTGTATAGGGTAGCGTATAGTGTATAGTAGTGAGTAGTCTTGTATAGTAATGTATAGTAGTGTATAGTGTAGTGTAGTAGTGTATAATAGTGTAGTAGTGTATAGTGTAGTAGTGTAGTGTATAGTGTAGTCGTGTTTCGTGTAGTAGTATATAGTGTAGTGTCTAGTAGTGTATAGTGTAGTAGTGTAGTGTATAGTGTAGTAGTGTATAGTGTAGTGTATTATGTAGTGGTGTATTGTGTAGTGTACAGTGTAGTGTAGTAGTGCATAGTAGTCTATAGTGCAGTAGTGTATAGTAGTGTGGTGTATAGTGTATAGTAGTGTATAGTGTATAGTAGTGTGGTGTATAGTGTAGTAGTGTAGTAGTGTATAGTGTAGTGTATAGTGTAGTAGTGTATAGTAGTGTGGTGTATAGTGTAGTAGTGTATAGTAGTGTATAGTGTATAGTAGTGTGGTGTATAGTGTAGTAGTGTATAGTGTAGTAGTGTATAGTAGTGTGGTGTATAGTGTAGTAGTGTATAGTGTAGTGTATAGTGTAGTAGTAGTGCTGGAGTCTGTCGCCAGGGAGAGGGAGGTGTGGACCGCCACGACTCAACGCGCTGCCGCTGCCGCCCCTGTGACCCTCACCAGCACAAGCGGACTGAGAGACGGTGTACTGGTCGTGAGCGGGAATGGAACTCGGGTGGCCGGGTTCGACCGAGGCGGCGGTGTGGCTCACCGCCACAGCAGTTGCTTCTCGACCTTACGTTTGCTTACTGCTACTACTGAATTGAGTTTTAAACCGAGTAACCCACCTCGCCTGACCCAACGTGCTTCTGGGAAATGAATGTGCGCAGAATGAACATCGATAGTTGAGAATAGGTTTTCTCCTTTTTTCTGGCAACAAAACTGCTGCGTTAAGATGTTAAGGCACCAAACTGAAACCTTTCACAAGGAATCATGTCTGCATTAGCCATAATACTTGTGGTCATATGCAAAAAAACGTACTCTGATCATATATGCACTGACCTTGAAACTGATTGGTCCACACCAGAGACAGCTTTCTTTTGATTGAGCCTCGTCTCAATAGTTGAACCAATACGTCCAATTTTGTGCGGAATATCCTAACTGGCTGCGAGCAACTGCAAGCGAATGTAAAAAACAAAACTCAAATTCAACGGACGATTTGCCACACGTAACGCAATTAGTTCTCGCTCGCTGAGTTACTCTTGGAGACCGCATTGCTTCAGATCGACGAGTTTAGAAAGGTACTTCATATCGCTCTCGCTCACCGCGACGGATTCCAAATGTATCGTGGTTAGGGGCCGTCCATAAATGACGTCACGCGATGTTGGACTATTTTTGACCTCCCTCCCTCGTTACACGGCGTCACAAAAAGTCAGACCCCCCCCCTCAAATATGACGTCACAAAGCTCTGTCCCTCCCCCCAAAAGAAATTAAACATGATTCAAATCGCTTTAAACTATTGTCATTGTAGTGCGTATCTAATGTGGCGCTGCACTCTGATGTTGTAGGAGAAAACATCAAAATAGTCGATTTAATTCAGTAGAACACGTTGTCTATATTTATTCAAAGTTGCGCGTTTTGATGTGACGTCACATTTCTCAAACCCTCCCCCCTCGTCACACATCGTCACACATCGTCACAAATGTCTAACCCCTCCTCCTCCCCCTAGGTGCGTGACGTCATTCATGGACGGCCCCTTACTCACGCTCCGATGACCCCGTTTACGCACGTGCAGAAATCACCGCGCGGTTACCAACCCTGGGCGCATGGCCACGCGGTGCCCCCCAACGGGGGGGGGGGGGGGGGGTCGGGGATCTGCGTCCCTCGCCAGGTCGATCGTCGCCGCACTGCCACGACCGACGCCCGCACAGAGGCAGCACAACGGCCGGCTCCGGTTGACCCGGGGGGGGGGCCTCTGATCGTCGCCTGAGGCTTTGTTTTGTTTTGTTTACGTGGGGCGAATAACGCGCCGAATTATTCAACACCAAAAAAAAATACACGCGCGCAGAGCCACGCGCACAGATCCATCATTCATTCAGAGAGAGTGCGAGTGAGAGAGTTATTATACATGCACGCATACACTAACACACACACACAGATGCATCATTCATTCACACAGTGAGAGCTGTACACAAAGACAAAGACTCTCCACCACCCCCCCCCCCCCGTATAGCCTTAACAGACTGTTGGGACAAGTGGTGTTAGCGAGCACCTATGAAGGCCTTTAACGGCACACCAGGGGATGGGTGGCCAGCACCACGCCTGGTCGCCTTTGTCTCCCAAGTAGCGATGTTTTTACGCACCGCACCAGGTACTCATTTGAGGCCGAGTCGACCTAGGGGAGGCCCAGGACCGGTTCAGATAATCGTCACTGGTGTTGGCCGTGGGCAGGAATCGAACTCGGGTGACCGGGTTCCTAACGAAGCGCGCTAACCGCTCCACCACCACTCCGAACTGTACAACAACAACCGCCATTCGCCACTAAGTGGCGGTAACGTCACCACGACGCTTGTGCCAGGCCATGTGCACCTTGAGGCCACGTGAAGTGTCGAAAGCCCGCTGGCAGGCGGTAACGGGGCAGACCCAAGTGCCACGGATCGACTGACTGAGATGACTGGTTGATGCACCACCTGTGCCCCCTACTGTGCCAACTTGATGTGCTTTATCCACCCGGCGCTCCGCTCGTTGTTGTGAGCGCCGCTCCTCAGCCCTCTGTTGTTGTTGTTGGAGTGCAAACTGTACACGCACACACGGACACACCCACTTACTCACCTACCCACTCACCCATCCACTCACCTACTCACATACCGACCCACTCACCTACTCACTCACCCACCTACTCACCCATCCACTCACTCACCCACTCAACCACACCCACCCGCCCACTCACCTACGCACTAAACTATTCACTCATCAACTCACTCACCCGCCCACTCACCCACTCACCCACCCACTCAATCACCCACCCACTCACCCACTCACTCACCCACCCACTCACTCGCCCACTCGCTCACTCACCCGCCCACTCACTCACCCACTCACTCACCCACCACTCAACCACACCCACCGCCTCCCCGTGTGCGTGGGGCCGCACACAGCACGCAGAGTCTCCGACTCTCTCTCTTCTCCGCTCGTGCATTCGGCATCTGCACCTCGCGTGGTTTGTGAAGCGCTGCCCATCGCCGCTTCCGTGGAAGATGGAAACCGGGCAGCGAGGTGGCGGTGTTGGATTCGCTGGTGGACTCGCTGGTGGACTCGCGTTCTTACTGCAGTGCCAGTTTCCTTCTCATCACCGCATTCCGTGTCTACCCACACGGCTTGCCCCGTATTCTTGTACGGGGAAATCGCGTTTCCAGGGCCATGCGGCGGACAGCCGTTTCAATACGGGCAATAACTTTTGTTTGTTTGCGTTTCCCCCTTGTGATGGGACTTTGTAGGATGAACGTTGAGATTTATAAGGGGCACTGGGTGACCAATGAGGTCTGAATTGGTCTGTAATAAGGCAGAGCACTGATAAGGGGGTTGACAGGTACGTAGTGGTGAGTGTACTAGTGGTGAGTGTACTCGTGGTGAGTGTACTAGTAGTGAGTGTACTCGTGGTGAGTGTACTAGTGGTGAGTGTACTCGTGGTGAGTGTACTAGTGGTGAGTGTACCAGTGGTGAGTGTACTCGTGGTGAGTACTAGTGGTGAGTGTACTCGTGGTGAGTGTACCAGTGGTGAGCGTACCAGTGGTGAGTGTACTCGTGGTAAGTGTACTAGTGGTGAGCTTACCAGTGGTGAGTGTACCAGTGGTGAGTGTACCAGTGGTGAGTGTACTAGTGGTAAGTGTACCAGTGGTGAGTGTACTAGTGGTGAGTGTACTAGTGGTGAGTGTACTCGTGGTAAGTGTACTCGTGGTGAGTGTACTCGTGGTAAGTGTACTAGTGGTGAGTGTACTAGTGGTGAGTGTACTAGTGGTGAGTGTACTAGTGGTGAGTGCAGTGGCAGGGCACTGCTAAAGGGGTTGACAGCTTTGTTCACCGTCTGCATCGTCGTCGTCACCATCATCATCATCGTCACCATCATCGTCGTCACCATCATCATCGTCGTCGTCACCATCATCGTCATCGTCACCATCATCATCGTCGTCACCATCATCATCGTCGTCACCATCGTCATCATCGTCGTCACCATCATCATCATCGTCGTCACCATCGTCATCATCGTCGTCTCCATCATCATCGTCACCATCATCATCATCGTCGTCACCATCATCATCATCGTGGTCGTCACCATCATCATCGTCGTCGTCACCATCGTCATCATCGTCGTCACCATCATCATCATCGTCGTCTCCATCATCATCATCGTCGTCATCATCGTCGTCACCATCATCATCGTCGTCGTCACCATCGTCACCATCATCGTCGTCGTCACCATCATCATCATCGTCGTCACCATCATCATCATCGTCACCATCATCATCGTCGTCGTCACCATCATCATCGTCACCATCATCATCGTCAGGTCGTCTTCTTCTACGTTGGTCATCTCTTTAGGGGGGGGGGGGCAGCTTAGATGCGGTAGAATCCTTCCGGGGCAAAACTGTTGTTCTCGAGTTGCCAATAATCATGCGGCCCAGTACGTCAAGGGCCATCCTTGTAGTAAGTACGCAAAAAAATCTGTCAAAATTTGACCCCCCCCCCCTCCGTGTACGCACGCGGACTTTTTACACCCCCCACCCGCCCCACCGAATCCTATAGAACGGCCGATATTTAATCCACGCAGAAACGATCAAGGATGAATAATATTAACGTGTTTAAGCAAACAGATAGTCCACCGCCGGACTATCTAACTCATTTGAAGACCGATGTAGACAAATTATTATCGAAACTTCACCCCTCCCCCCCCCCGTTTCCTATACGTACGAACATTATCAGTAGACCCCCCCATACGCAAGCGAACGCATTTGGGTTAACCCCCCCCTCCATGCGTACGTACTAGATGGATGGCCCCCCCCATGGGAAGTCTGTCCCAGACTTCACGAAACTGGAGGTAGCGTCGAGCGTGGCCACCGCCGCCACCGCCGCCGCCGCTGCTGCTGTGGGAATGAAGCTTAGGGAGCTCTACATCGACTACCCCCGGGGGTTCGGCCTTCTAGTCCCCAAAGATCCCCACCCCCCCCAAGTTATAGCCCCTTCAACAGACTTTCGGGGGCAAGTGCTGTTAGCGAGTAGGACGCGCCTGTGAAGACCGGCAGGGTGGCACGCGAGGGGGGTGGGGGGGGGGCTCCGTGGTCAACACCGCTGAAACGTGGTGCTCATTTGAGGCCGAGTCGACCTAGAGGAGGTCCGGAACCGGCTCAAGAGCATCGTCCTCAGGGCCAGCAAAAAAAAAACACCAAACCACGAGCGCCATCGTGAGAGCGCGCGACGAGTGCGGCAGGACAACAGGAGCGGTCACGACCATTGCCTTTGGCGACACTGCCCTCCGCTGTACAACACAGCGACGTCGCTGGCCCACGGCACCTGACACTCAACGGCGGTGGCCCATCCGAGCGCTTGCCAGGCTCGACCCCTCTGCTTAGCTTCCGAGGGGTCTCGACGCGACCGGGTGCCTCCGGTCGTGATATGCGGAGGGTCGTGAACTGCGGAGGGTCGCGTATTGCCCCCTAGCGGATCGATTTGTGCAACGGCAGCTGTAGATCTTGATTGTTCTATCTACGTGACTTTACCGAAATAATTAGAGAGCATGGACAGCTGTAGATGTTTTAATTGGAATTGCGGGGTTTTTTTTCCCTACTTAAAGCTTTCGTGACTGCAGTAATTCATATTGCTTTGGGTCTTTCGGTAAGGTCACGTAGATAGGTTGAAAGAAAATAACAAAAAAAACGACGACGTTTCAATCGAAACGTCATCACGAGGATGACTCGCTAGTGGTGTGATCGAAACGTCGTAGTTTGTT